GGAGGAGGCGGAGGAAGTGGAGGAGGAGGCGGAGGAGGAGGAGGAGGAGGCGGAGGAGGAGGAGGAGGAAGAGGAGGAGGAGGAGGAGGAGGAGGAAGGAACATGATGCTTCGTTTGATGATGGTGCTGATGGTGGTGATGATGCTGCTGATGACGATGGCGATGACGACGACAACAACGACGGCGACGGCGATGATGACGATGATGATGCTGCTGATGCTGATGGTGGTCGTGCTGTTGTTGATGATGCCGTTGGTGATGATTATGATGATGATGACGATGGAGATGACGCTGATGGTGCTGGTGATGATGATGCTGATGATGATGCTGATGAATCTGCTAATGATGATGGCGATGGTATTGGTGATTGTGATAGTGCTGATGACGCTGATGATGGTGCTTATGCTGATGACCTCGATGCTGCTGATGATGCTGATGATGATGACGATTCTGATGGTGGTGATGATGACGATGATGATGCTGCTGATGATGGTGATGGTGGTGAGGATGATGATGGTGATTCTGATGATGCTGATGTTGGTTATGATGATGCTGATGCTGATGGTGGTTGTGGTGGTGATGATGATGACGACGATGCAGATGAAGACGATGATGCTGGTGGCGATGATGCTGATTCTGATGCTGATGATGCGAGTGCTGATGATGATGACGACGATGATGATGATGATGCTGATGCTGGTGAAGATGATGATGATGATGATGATGATGATGATGATGATGATGATGATGATGATGCTGATGGTGGTGGTGGTGGTGATGATGCTAATGATGGCGTCGATGATGCTGGTGGCGATGATGCTGATTATGATGCTGATGATGCTGGTGCAGATCATGGCGATGATGATGATAACCTTGATGATGATGCTGCTGCTGATGATGATGATGATGCTGATGATGACGATGACGATGCTGATGATGATGCTGATGATGATGATGATGATGATGATGATGATGATGATGATGATGTGGATGATGATGCTGATGATGCTGCTGATGATGATGAGGATGCTGCCGATGGATGATGACGATGATGCTGCTGATGATTCTGACGATGAGGAGGAGGATGAGGATGAGGATAATGATGACGAAGTGGATGCGCATGCGGATGCTGATGCGGATGCGGATGCGGATGCGGATGGATGGATGGATGGATGGATGGTGATGATGATGATGATGATGATGCTGATGCTGATGCTGACGCTGGTGATGATGATGATGATGATGATGATGATGATGATGATGATGATGATGATGATGATGACGATCATGATCATGATGATGATGGTGATGATGATGATGATGGTGATGGTGATGGTGATGGTGATGGTGATGGTGATGACGACGAAGAAGAGGAAAGAAGGGTGGCGGTGGTGGTGATGCTGATGCTGATGCTGATTCCGCTGCTGCTGCTGCTGATGATAATGATGATGATGATGATGATGATGATGATGATGATGATGATGATGATGATGATGATGATGATGATGATGATGATGATGGCTGTGCTCATGATGATGGTGGTGATGCTGCTGACGCTGATGCAGATGCTGCTGACGATGATGATGGTGTTGATGAGGACGAGAAGGAAGGAGCAGGGGGGCTCAGGGTGTAGAGGAGGAGGATGAGGATGAGGAGGAGGAGGAGGAGCATGGCATCGTAATTAGCATGGACCCCGCCAGGAGAGTTCGACGGAAGTGATGAGTGAGGCCACCAGCACTTCTGTGGGCATGCAGACGGCCTCTTCGATTGGCACCCAGACCGACGAGTATGTGGATGACATCATCTGCCAGACGTGTGGTGAGGCCGGCGTGCTTCATGCCTGCGGGCACTGGCAGTGCCCGACGCTGGAATGCCGGCCTACTTGGTATCAGCGGTTCGAGGCCAGGAAGTGGCTGGTCCCGCGCACGCCCGCGCGAGCACAGAACGAGCAGCTCTTCCAGACCCGCGAGCGCTGCGTGGACTGCCGCCCCGAGGGCCGCTGCCTCAAGGGGAACTGCCCCCGGTACTGCAACTTCGTCTTCCGCAGGGGTACGTGCAAGTTCGGCGCCAAGTGCTCGTTCTGCCACCTGCACGGGCGCGCCGACGCCACCGGGAAGTTCCGGGGCGAGGTCGACGGCGCACTGGACCTCCCGTGGCCGCCGTCCGGGTCGCACCTGCCACCTCCGCGCCCCCAGTGGTTCGGGGGGCCGGACAAGCCGCAGGGCCAGGGGCCCTATGCCACGTCCGACGGGATGGATCGCATGCGCGGCTGCTGCAACGACGGCGAGCCTTGGAAAGTGTCACTGTCTTCAGGGCGCGTGACGGCTGTTGTACCCTCGCCGAACGTGCTTCCCGATGCCGGCGGAATCTTCAACGCCTCGCCGAAAGTGCTTCTCCATTCTGCCAACGGAATGTTCGTTCAGTCCGTGTGACATCCTTCCTACATGAGGCCCGAAGAAGACAGGATGCGTACCATTACGCTTCGTGAGGCAGCTTGCGGCAGCACGCTCTGAGACAGCCATCGCATAATTTCAATTCGAGCGCCAGCCGGGAGCTAAGCGCCAGCCGGGAGCTATCGGCATTGGCCTCTTCAGGATTCCCAGGCCGATCCTGCTCGTCGACATAAGTTATGTTACCAGCTGGCCGTGTGGCGCTGCTGCGCGCGCCACAGTCCCTTGTCGCAGAGCTCCAAATGCAGCCAATATGTCAGGAGGAAAGATACAGACACAAGTAGTCGTCGACTCCCAGGAAGATGTAGGAAAATATGGGAAGTAGGGGGGAACAGGAAAAACGATGAAATATGGGAGATATGGGGAATCCTGGGATTTGTGTCTATTTATTTGTGCGTCCCTGGCCCCCTTCATATGCGTCAAGGTTTGCCATGTTGGGTGTGCTGCATGTGCAGGCTTGCATCTGGAGCCCGCTACTGGGGAAGCCACACTCGACTCCATCTGCACAGCGGAGACACGCAGAAACCCAGCTGGCGGATGCAAGGCATGGTAGTAGTGACCAAGCCTCCCATCGCAATCATTGGGTTGCAGGGATTCTCTTTTTCATCGGCCAATCCTTCTTCTTCCTTCCTCTTCTCGCTACTCCCCCTGCTGGAGTAGGAGGAGGAGGAGGAGGCTTGGCCAGCTCATGCTCTTTTCCACCCTCTTCTTCCTTCCTCTTCTCGCCCCTCCCCCTGCTGGAGGAGGAGGAGCCGGCTTGGCCGGCTCATACTCTTTTTCACCCTACAGTGGGAACCCATGCCAAGAGATACCCTGCTTGCCTCCAGGGTGCCCTGGGTCTCTTGGGTCTCGATGGGTTTGCTTAGGGAATCCTCCTCCCCCTCCTCCTCCTCCTCCTTTTTTTTTTGCCATCCACGGCGCCTCAAACAATGCTGCAAACTGGAGGCTAAGAATGCAGCACCGCAACAAAACCATGGCCGCATGCCAAGAGCACTTGCCGCCTCCCCCGCCACCTCCCACAGCTCTGGAACCAGGTACTGTGAGAGGCTTTGGGTTCAGCGGCTGAGATCTCAAAGGAAGGAACAAGGATTTGACCAGGTCCAAATCGAGAGTCACGCCCGCTTTATCGGGGTGCTTCCCTTGCCAGATTTTGTTCCAGTTGCGGTTGCCTGTGGTCGTCGGCGGCTTGCAAACCCTGTCCAAGTTACACACCTGGGCGCCGGAGGAGTAAGACCGACACCTGAGGCAAAAGAAAATGTGCGAATTGTCGCTAGCCTCCAGCGCGAGCACTCGGTGCTGGAGCCGATCTAAAACAACACTGTCGAGCCTGCTGTGACCTCGGCACGAACCCCCAGCAGGACGGGCGGAGGACGTCGAGCCCTTCAAGCAGACTCGACAGCGCCAGAACCCCGACGTATGGGTCCACTGGTGAGGATGCCTTGGAGCAGCAGGAGGAGCAGGAGGAGGAGGAACCCGCTCCAACCCCCGAAACTCCACCCGAGGAAAGAGAGGGAGCACGGCAGCGGCGAGGCCCATCACACACTTGGCGATCTTGACCTTTAAATCAACTGCTTCCAAATCGCCAGCACAGAAACCGGGGTGCCACCTCACCGCTCGCTTGGCACCCAAGTCAGCGAAACTGTTGCCTTGGCGCACGAAGCGCTCTCGAGCGCTGATGCCCGACTCGTCCAGGTCCTTGTGAGCATCTACCTCGGTGAGGCTGGTGATCCTAGAACCAGCTCCAGCAGCACCGTGAATGAGAAGCCCTGAATACTGGAGCCTGGGAGACAACAGGTATCTGCCTGGGCCCTGGAGGAAAAGGTCGACCACACTTTTGCAGTCGCTGAAGCAGTCAGCTCCAGCCTCCCAGCAAAAGTCCAGACCCCCAAACGCCCCAAACTCGGCCGCCTTGGGGGTCTGAGGGTAGGGGGCCCAGACAGGGGCTGTGATCTCACACAGCAGGTTGGCGTTATCATCCGTCATGGCCAGGCACCAACCAGCACGGGAAAGCTCAACCACAGGATGCTTGAAGCAACTGCCGTCCAGGAAAACGTGACCCCAGAGACCGAGACCAGTGTGAGTTTTCACAGGGCCAGGGGGGCCTGGGGGCTGGGCTTCTGGCACCGTCCGTTCCACGTGCACAACACCGTCAGACGAGGGCTTGGGAAGGTCATCTCCAGGGTGCTTGAAGGCGCCATGAACGAACAGCGTGTGTTCATAGTCGCCCGACTCCGAGTCCAGCGCGAGAGCAAGGATATCTTTTGGCACGAGCCGCTCTCGCACTTCGGCGCAAGCTGTACATTGCCAAAGCCTGTGCCAGAGCGTGTCCTCGTGCTGGCCACGCAGTGCACAGGCCGAGGGGACATCGTAGCCCGCCTTCCTGGCCTCGCCACTCGTCCAGATGGCGTTGCTGGCGAGGGCCCTCATGGTGGTCTTGTCCTTGAGAGAGACCTTGCTGGACCTGAGCTTTTCAAGCACAATGCCCCAACAGAGACGGTGGGGAACTCCGAACTCTGGGCCCGATTCCCTCTCCAAGCCCCTGAACACCGCAGCCTTTGCAAGCTGCCCGACGAGCCTCGGAGAGAGGATGAGCAGGTTGAGGAGGTGGCCCCTGTCGTCCACGCACTCGCAGAACGAGTTCATGGACCACCCAAGCCTGTAGAGGGTCATCCTGAGAGCACTGAGGGGCCCAGAAACCTTGGCCCAAGACCAATCGTCCCTACAAAAAACCGAGTTCCAAGCATGCCTCAGAAGCCCAAAGGAGAGAGACCCCGAGAACTGTCTAGTCTGAGTTAACCACAGCTCTTTGGCATAGCGAACCAAAGGGGCAACGCTGACCCTCCACGGCGGATCCCCTTCCAGAAGAGAGATCGCAGTGAGAGAGCGGTGATGCGACTTAGGAGATATCGTAGACATCCCAAGGTAGCGAAGATGGTGCAAATCTCTATCACTGATGCCAAAAACTTCCGCTCCGAAAGTGCCGCTCGCCAAGGGACCCGCGGTGAAAATTCGGAGAGATTTACGGCCCAGGACCTCCTTATGCTTCCTCAACCAACGGGTCTTCTTTTGGGCGAGCGCCATGCGCTCTTCAAACCTATTAGACTTCCCTTTGCCAGCTCCGCGGGCACGAAGCGCACGGCCAGCTGTGAAGTCCACGCCCAAGTTGACAACGGCGGGGGCCGACTCTCCAGCGAGAGCGCCAAGCTGCAGCTCGAGCTGCTGGGCGACCCACTGGTTGCTGCTCACCAAGCCTATCCTGTCCATGGCCAGGGAGCAACCCAAGACCCCAGTGATGGCCTTGTGCAGACCGAGCGCACTCGAGACAAGGCCTGAGACAACCTCTTCTGCTGTGCCTGTCCTCGACAGGCCCGCGCCATCAATGTAAGCATCGAAATCCGTGCCAACTTGCAAGGGGATCTCATCGAAGGCGGACATGACAACAAACAAAACACGAATCAAACTGATGGCCATCGAACAGCCCGCAATGACCCCCGAGAGGGCCCAAAAGGGCCCATCCAGGATACCTCCCAAGGAAAGGTAACGGACCGACCTCTAAGCATCCAGGCACACACGGGTGATGCGACGAGGAAGGTTATGACGCTCACACTGATGCTCCAATAAATCAAAAGAGATACTCTCATAGTATTCCTCCATGTCCCCAAGCATGGACGCAGACACCAGTTTGGAAGCAACGCCCGACTCAGCCTCGACGGCTTGACGCCACGCGGCGTCCGCGGCACCGCGGCTGGCGCCTGCCGCCCCGTCGGCTCTGGGGTGGTCTCGAGCTCCCATTGGAGGGCCGGGGGGCGCCTGGCCCTGCCCCACAACCGTCGGGGGTGGACAGAACCCCCAACCGTGACACGTCGATTAGTGAATTGTCCGTTTTCGGTTCTCGAGAGGGCGCCGTGGCCGTTATTTTCCAGGCTTGCGCCCGCCAGGTTTGGGCCTCTGGTCGTTTTCACTAAACCACGTTTTACTAAAGGGGGGTCTGTCCATCCCCGAAACCGGTACCACGAAACAGAAACGCCGAGAGGCCGAACGCCTCCAGAGGCCCTGCCCAGGAGGGCCAATGAGACAACGGAGACCTGGGGAGGGAGACGACCCACCGACTCAACGACCCACACCACCCCAGCCAGAGCCTCCAGGGCAGCATCGCTCAAGAGGCAGTGGTGCCTGAGGTGGGATCCGTCCACAGACACGGCGCCGGCCGTCCTATACGAGCGGCTGAGTTTCCTTAGCTGATCGGGGGAGAGTTGGGGCAATGCTTCGATGATCTCAACAGGGCCCCTCTCGGGGCCAGCACCAGGGCCCCACGGCTTGCTGAACTCCAGCCCCCCCGCCTGGAGAAGGGAACGAGGGTCAGCGCGAATCCCGCCGTGGCAAACGAGGGTGGTGGCGGCCTTCCACGGCGCAGGGTCCCGAAGGGCCAAGTGGGCCCTCTTGCCGCCAGGGTCGAGCCCTTCCTGGAGCCAGTCTTTCCAAGAAGCCTTGCTACGAGCGACCGCGTCCGACTTGGCCTTCGCGACCAGCGAGGAGATATTCATAATCGAGGGGGAACTGATCTGAATCTGAAGCGCCTAAGCTCGCCGCTCGCCGAAAAAGACCCCCGCGCGCAGCAGCTGCAGCTGCGGCCGAGGGCGGCGGCGTCTTGAAAGAGTCGACGTTGCCCGCAACCTTGCCCCTACAGGCCCCGCAAGCCTTGAACTCCAACACGAGAGCACGAACCTGGTTCTCAAGCCAACGACGGCCTCGGAGGAGGGAGTCCTTATGGGGGGCTTGAGAGGCTTAGCAATGTTCTTCCAGAACGTCTCAACGGGCTTGCCTCGGGATCCGTGGCAGGGCAGAGCACGGCCGAGCACGCGCTCGAGGTCGCGTTCGGCCCGATCGGCCCGCAGCTGGCACATGACAGGCAGCGCAGAGACAGCAGCGCCACCCCGCCTCTCGCAATCGCCTCCTTAGCCCCTCTCACGCAAGACTGGGCCTGGGTCCAGTCCGCCTCCCTCAACTCGGGCGCAGGCCCGAACGGGGGCGTCGGAGGCAAAGGGGGGCGGCTTACGACAGGCCAGGGCTTTGAGGTAGAGTAGCTGGGGGTAGAAGCTCAGGCTCGCTGGCCCGTGCGGGTGCAGCGAAGAGCCTTCCACAGCGCTGGTGCTGCGAATGCCTTTGCCCAAACCGCCCGAGACGACAAAATAGTCGAACGCCTCGGGCCTTTCCTGGGAGGGGAAATGAGTGTTAGACTCAGTGTAAACCAAGAGGGCCCCAAGCCCAGACACGAAACCAGACGAACGCAAAACCTCGGGATTGAAATTGGAATTGCCTGCAAATGCGAACTCGCAACCAAGGTTGGTCAGGAACTCACCTAGCTTGACCACGACCCCAGAGTTGTACGAGTCGAGGCCGACCGAGTGCTCCAAGTAGAGCGAGCGGGGAGAGGCTGGCGCGTGCACCATGCAAGCCAGGGCCCTGCCGTCGCACAAGTCGCCACCTTTCACTTCATACAGACCCAGCCAGCCACGAGTCAGGGTGGCCACTCCTGAACTGTCGCCTGCTTGCGGTCCAGGAATACCTGGCGTCCAGATCGATTTCCAGCCCGACCGAAGACAGCTCGAAGACGCGCGAGCGATGGCCTCAGGATCCCGAATGCGATGCTCTTGAGCCAGGAGAATGCGGGCACCGGGCTCGGACTCCAGGAGATCGAGAAGAGCGCCCCACGAGTTGCTGTTGGCCGTCCAGATCGCAAGAGCCACGGCTTCAGACAGGGCCAGGACCCGGGGGGGCCAAGGACCAGGAACCTCGCTCGGACTCTGGGGGCAACATCG